AAGACATACCTTTCAGTAACACAGGGTCGGGTCACGCAGATATTATTATTGGGATGGACAACGTGCATTTGATCATGCCGTTTGAGACGCGTTGCGATGAAAGCGGAAAAATGAAACTTTACGCGTCCCGTTCGCGCTTAGGTTGGACATTGAACTGCCCGTTGAATGATAAGTTGGCATCTGATATTTCAGTCAATTTTCTGTCGGTTGAAGAAAATATTGAGAATTTATGGAGACTCGAGCATGAGAGCGCGATTTCTTTCTCGCAAGAAGATGGAGAAGTTTTGGCCCTGTGGGAATCGACTGTTAGTGAGGAGAACGGTCATTACGTATTACCGATACCGTGGAAAACAGGGTGTCCGAAATTTCCGTATAACAAGAACGTGGCGCTCGACCGCTTACACAGTTTAGAACTTAAGCTGGAGAAAGAAGGGTTATACGAAAAATATCACGACAACATATTGGATTTGATTTCCGATGGTTATGTTGAGAAAGACCCAGATGATGAAATTGATCTGCGCGACGGCACAGTATGGTATATTCCGCACAGACATGTTTTGAATCCCTCAAAACCTGAGAAACTGCGAGTTGTTTATGATTGTGCGTGCAAATGTCAGGGTGTTAGTCTAAATTCTCAGACCAAACAAGGCCCAGATTTCATAAACAAGCTGTTAGGTATTTTGTTGGGATTCCGTCAACATAAATACGCGATAATGGTAGACATCAAGGCGATGTACTATCAAGTTATGGTGCCTGAATGCGATAGAAATTCGCTCAGATTCTTATGGCGCGACGGGGAAAATCTTGTTCACTATCGCATGCGCGTCCACTTGTTTGGTGGAAAGTGGTCAGGGAGCGCAAGTTGTTATGCTCTAAGACGCACAGTAAAAGACCATAAAGTCACAGAATTGATCAGAAACACCGTGTTGAAATCTTTTTATGTCGATGATTTGCTCAAATCCGTGAAAACCAGAAAAGAGGCTCGTGAGGTCACTGAAGGCACAAAACGCGCGGTGAGCCACGGCGGATTCGATCTCACTCAATTCGTAGTAAATGACTTCGAATTAAATAAAGTTATTTCCTGTTGATGACAGAGCTAAAGAGGTGAAAGAACTAGCGTTCGATTCTCATGCAAAAGCTCTCGGGATTAAATGGGAAGTCATGCCTGATTGTTTCTATTACATCTTCAGACTCAAAGAAAACGTGATTGTTAGGTGTAGCCCTGGGGGAGCTCCTGTTGACATTGTTGGAATCGATATTTTTGGCCCCCTTATTGTGAAAGTAGAACGTTCTGATGTAAAGCGTTATGGATGCATTTTCACTTGCTTCAAAACACGGGCGTTGCATATTGAGGTGTTGGAAAATTTGAGTACCGACCCGTTTCTCAACGGGTTTTTCCGTTTTGTCGCGAGAAGAGGATGTCCTTCCAAACTTTATATTGACAATGACATGAATTTTTTCGGTGCTCAAAGTGAGCTAGCGCGAAGTTTACGTCAGCTCGACAAGAGTAAAATACTCAGGGAAACAAGACGCAGAGGCGTCGAGTGGAATTTAAATCCCCCACATGCATCCCATCATGGAGGGATCTGGGAACGCATAATAAGAACTGTCAGAAAAATTCTGACAGCACTGTTGTCAAATATGCCTACCAAATCATTATCTGATTGGGGTTTACAGACAATTTTATGTGAGTGCGAAAGCATTATAAATGGAAGACCCATGACAAAAGTCAGTACTGACTCAAATGACTGTGACGCTCTTATTCCTAACCATCTGTTACAACTCCGTAACAATCCCTCTCTTCCTTGGGGTGATTTCGAAATAGCAGATGCGTTGTTGGTTGTGGAGACATTGTCAATTTCTTGTTTCCCAGTTCTGGAAGCGATGGACTAGGGAATATTTATCTTTGCTTCAGTCTAGACCTAAATGGCGGGAGATCAAGCGAAATTAAAAGAGGGGGGACCTTGTCCTTGTTATTGATGCATCTATGCCCAGTGGTTCATGGCCTCTAGCTGTAGTAGTAGATGTTTAGATTGGGAGAGATAACTTAGTGCGTAGCGCGACGGTTCGTACAAAATCGTCTCGCTATAGTAGACCCATCACAAAATTAGTGTTTTTAGAGGGAGACTATTAAGATATGTATTATATTATTACAATATTGTTTAAGTGGCATTGTTTAAACAATAAATTGTAAGTAAATTTAAATAAGAATACGTAATATTGTTTATTTTTGTTTGTTTGTTTGTTTATAACAGATAATATAGTGAATATGGCTGTATTCCCAGAGCTTTTAGATCGATCTATCCCCTCGGGGAGTCTCACTAGATAATCCGGCTTAAATGTCCGTCCCGCCTACTACAAGCTGTAAGGGGGTGATTAATTTTCGTGTCCGCCCGGCTGACAGCTATTTAGCGTGAACCCCCAGGGAGTTAGGTCGATCTAAAGTAGAACGAACTAATCTCTGGAAATGGGGTCTATGTGTTTGTTTGAGTATGTAGTGAGGTAGATAAATACATTTTTGTACAAATAAAATGCCATTTTTTTTTGTTTAAGTGGGAGTGTTGTCGCTTACGGTCGTATTACTAGTCATCCTTGTTTTGTTATGCAAATGATTTGCTCAGTATATATACGGTCAGTAGTAGTATTGTTAAACATTTACACAATGTATATGTAAAAGCATAAGTCGTTAGTCTAGTCAAATTTATAGTATGCACAACATTTCCCGTTTCTTATAATTAATTTATTATTTTTTTTTATATTTGTATTCAGTTTATGTTATATTTGTGTATTTTTATATCATCAGATTAGTGTTTATATTTCATTATTTTGTTATTTTAGTATCACCATGTCCATGTCAGTGTGTGCGTGAATAAAGGTGTGAACATTTTCCCGTTGTTTGTGTTCGTTTGGCGTGGGATCCGCATCAGTCGATAATCCAAATAGCGCCATGTACTTGGCCAACAGTTATGGAGAGACGTTATGAAGAGACGCAGCTCTGTGCTTAATAAAGGCTAAATATATTCACAGATAACTTACATTAGGCTTTTTCCACAGTCACTTCTACATCCTCCGCCACATGCACAGCCGAATATATTACAGCTCTGATGACCACAGTAAGGGGTACCCTGAAAAACGAGTGTGAAGGGAGCACTTAAGGAAGTAGGTTGAGTAGATTGATAATTCTGACAATTTTACCTCTCCTTATTAACACTATCTAGTTTATATCCCACCAGAGCTGTCAGAATATGCAAATCAAATAATACGTTTCAAAAAACGTTTTTCAGATTAAAATAACAACAATTAAGTCGACCCATTTAAATTCCACATTGCTCGTAACTACTGGTGGTAAATTCTTACCCAATATTCGGTTAGACTAGTTGTTCAGTTTTGTTTTGATCTTTGTAACAACAGATGTAGTTAGGATGGGAGACCATTGTCGGACACGTACAGTACTACCATCTTTTTGCACCGACAACCAAACTATACTTAAAATTCATTCTTTTATTTTCATTTTTGCCCCCACCGCTTTCTTCAAGTACAATCCTGCATTAGTTAATGGTATGGAAGCAGAGTAGTTTGTAATGCCTTTATGCAAAGTTTCATACTGAAAATACATACTAAAGTGCAGTCTTTGCAATACCCATAGGACTCGGATCTGCAGCACACTCCCTCGGTTTGTTGTACCATAATAGCTACCACGCATGCGCAGGTCACAGCAGCTATTATCACGAGACAGCAAGTCATCTTCTGAAATGTGAACATTGGTTATTTGAGATACTTGCGACAGTTTAATATTAGGTAAACGAATCTAAATAGTTTAAAAGAAAAAATGTCCACATCCACATCCACAATCGTTGACTAATTTTCTTCAAATAAACCTCTCTTTTTTTAATAAATTGCAAACCAGCACCGCTCTACAAATAAATTCATGTTACCACCCAAACCAGAAATAAAGCTTCAAGAATTATGAGGCATAGTAGCTCAACCATAATCACTTGACAACAGGTTACCTTTTGAAGTTCTAAAACATATTTATAAACCATTGATTTCTGCAAATGCAAGTTAACAGTACATGTAATCTACAAATAAAAACAAAAAGATAAAGCTACAACCTGTGCAAATTTTTACCTTATATCTCGTTTTGTCGCTCGTGTCTGCTATAAGGTTTATGTCCCAAGATAACGTGTTGTTCTCTATATATTCACCTGTAGGCAGGTATGCCACCGTCAGAAAAACGACATTTTGCCAGAAAAAAGAAAAGTAAATTAAACTGCTGGTCTTAATCACCTGATATTTACATCCAAATAAATTTGTTTACGTGATGATGTGTCACACCTTGCAGTGATATTGTGAAGTAAGATGGCTGCTGGATTAACTGGGCAAAGTGAAAATGACAATATGCGACTTATATTCTCAGTACCTATATCATTAGAATTAGGCTAGTCATTTGAAATGCCATCATTGATTATCAGACAAAAGTACGCGCCTAAAATACTATATATGAATGTGAAGAAACATTCTAGAAATGAAAACGGAAAAATTAGAAGAGAAAAACTTGCAGTTTTTTACCTTGGATCTCGGTTCATCTAGTCTTGTCTGATATGAGAGGGGTTTGTGTCCCAAGATCACGTGTTATTCTATATGTAATTCTTCTAGCAGGTACTTTCTTGTAGACCAATTCAAAAATCTACCTGCGTTTTTCATCATTAGCTTCCTTACTTCATGGACAGAATTATTGAAATGAAAACCAAACATTTATCTTTTTTTTTTTTTGTGGTTTCAAAACTGTAAGTAACATAGACTACGGCTCATTTTCCTTTTTTCACTCCAAAAGAACCAGTATAATTCAGTGTTTCCATTCATTTATAATCATTCATTCACAAACGCTACAGATAAAACTGTTTTAATTCAAAATGTCACCTGTATCTGTGCCAGAAAAAGGAAATGTTTAGTTACAAAGTCAAATACATTGTCAGGTTTTTAAGCAAACAGAAAAATANCATCAGTGCCCCTCGTGGACCTTGTGTTGGTACATCTGCAGTCCACTACAGTACCATGAAAATTGCTTTCAACACTGTAAAAAAAGGAAGTCTGAGGTGAGGTACATCAACTTAATCTTGAAGTACTGGTAGTGGCAAATCTGTAAAGCGTGTTCTTTAATTCATAGAACAAATCAATCGGGAGATAATTTTTCTCATTCACAGTCGAAGGTCCAAATAAAGCCATGTACTTGGCCAACATACAGTTATGAAGAGAAGTTAGGAATACACTATTTCACCTTCGCGGTTCTGTGCTGATATAAAGCTAAATATATCCACGGATAACTTACATTACGCTTTTTCCACAGTCAGTTCTACATCCGCCACCACATGCACAGCCGAATACATTACAGCCTTGATTCCCACAGTAAGGGGTACCCTGAAAAACAAGTTTGAATGGGGCATTAAATATCCAAGAAGGTTGAACTACCAAGCCGGAAGTACACTGTTTACTTTAATAATTCTGACATTTTACCTCTCTTACTTAACACTGTCTAGTTTATAACGCATCATAGCTGTCAGAATATTCAGATCAAATAATATGTTTCCAAAAACGTATTTTTAAAATTAAAATAATGTCGAATAAGTCAAGCCATTCAAATTCCACATGGCTCATAACAACTGGTGGTAAATTCATACCCAATATTCGGTTAGACTAGTCGTTCAAAGTTCTGTTTTGAGCTTTATAACAACTGATCTAGTTGGGATGGGAGACCATGCATAGTCGGACATGCGTTGCCATCTTTTTTGCATCTGAATTACTCCTTCCGCTTCTCTCTCCCCAAATAATAAAACTAACGCAAAACGGAAATAAACAACACCTGATACATGTAGCTCCAATTCCTGTGTCTTGTCTGTTGCTGTCAAAATCTCCCAGTTAACCAAATTATACTTTTAAGTATTAAAAAAAACATTTTTTTATTTTCATTTTTTGCACCTAACGCCTTTTTTCAAATACAATCCTGGATCATTTAGTGGTATTGAAGCAGAGTGGTTTATGCAAAGTTTCATACTGAATATACATACCAAAGTGCAGTCCTTGCAATACCCATAGTACTCGGATTTGCAGCACACTCCCTCGGTTTGCTGTACCATAATAGCTACCACGCATGCGCAGGTCACAGCAGCTGTTATCACGAGATAACAAGTCATCTTCTGAAATGTGAACATTGGTTATTGGAGATACTTGGGACCCTATAACATTCTGTAAACACATCTAAATAGTTACACAAGAATTAAAGTGTCTACAACTACAATCACTGTAAGGTAAGCAATTTTCTAATATGTAAACTTCTCTTTTTTTGAAAAAGAAAATTGCAAACCAGTACTGCTCTACAAATAAATTCATGTTACCAACCAAACACGAAATAAAGCTTTAAGAAATATGAGGCTCAAGAGCTCAACCATAATCACTTGACAACAACTTACCTTTTGAAATTCTAAAATATATTTATAAACCATTGATTTCTGCAAATGCAAGTAAACAGCAATCTAAAAATAATACCAAAAAGATAAAGCTACAACCTGGGCAAATTTTTACCTTAAATCTTGGTTTGTCGCTCGTGTCTGCTATAAGGTTTATGTCCCAGGATAACGTGTTGTTCTCTATATATTCACCTCTAGGCAGGTAGGCCACCGTCAGAAAAACGATATTTTGCCAGGAAAAAGAAAAGTAAATTAAACTGCTGGTCTTAAACGCCTGGGTTTGAAATTTAAATGAATTTGATGCGTCATGCCTTGCAGTGATATTGTGAAGTAAGATGGCTGCTGGATTAACTGGGCAAAGTAAAAATGACAAAAATGTGGCTTATATTCTCAGTACCTATATCATTTGAATTAGGTTAGTCATTTGAAATGTTCTCATTGTTTTTCAGACAAAGGTACGCACCCAAACCAATATCAACGAATGTGAGCAAACATTCTAGAAATGAAAACGGAAAAATTAGAAGAGAAAAATCTGCAATTTTTTACCTTGGATCTCGGTTCATGTAGTCTTGTCTGATATGAGAGGGGTTTGTGTCCCAAGATCACGTGTTATTCTATATGTAATTCCTTTAGCAGGTACTTTCTTGTAGAGACCAATTCAAAATAATTTACCTACGTTTTTCATCATTAGCTTCCTTTCTTCATGGATAGAACTATTGAAATGAAAATCATACATTTATTTTTTTGTGGTTTCAAAACTGTCAGTAACATAGACTACGGCTCACTTTCCTTTTTTCACTCCAAAAGTACCAGTATAATTCAATGTTTCCATTCATTTATCATCATTCATTCACAAACGCTATAGATAAAACTTTTTCAATTTACAATGACACCTGTATCTGTGCCAGAAAAAGGAAATGTTCAGTTACAAAGCCAAATACATTGTCAGGTTTTTAAGCAAACAGCAAAATATACAGTGTTGTTTTTTTTAAAATGAATGATACTTGAATTTTTTTGGCTGTTCATTTTGTATTTCATTGTAATTTGGTCATATCCATTAAATGACTTAACTGCAGGTTTAAAAACCAGTACTTTACCCTTACACGAATTATGTTAGTTAGGACAGACAAAACAATAAACATAATTTACTGTAGTCCCCCACGTCAGCAAGAGAACTATTTAGACTAGTACAAATGGTCCACCCGTCATATATTGTATTGACATTAAGAATGCCTCATAATTATTATTTGAAAGTGTCTATCGTTTGTTCTGAATTGGGAAGGATAAGAAGCTTTGCGCGGGGAACAGATTTACCTTTGGGATATTTGCACCGGATATATGTACATGCATCCTGTGCTTTTAATGTAACAAAATCACATAGGCCTGCTGTCCTTTGCTTCTTGCTTTCTGAAGGCGTTCAAAATCTTATTTTTCCATCTCGGAATCTTCCAAACACACATTATCCCAAGATGAAATCCAATATTTCGACCAATGTCATTAAGGTGCTTCCCAGAACGAGGCCAAGAGCCCCTCCTATGTCAGCAAACAGAGTCAGCGTGCTGTAGGCTTCTTGTTGAACCACTTCCTCGTACGTCATATCCGTGTAGTATAACGCCACGCTTACAAAATCTTTTTCAACGGATTCTGCAGTTCTGTTTAACTCCGACGATATTGCTTTGGAGACATTTTAGAACTTGAGATGCTGTAGTCGAAAGATAAAATCTTGCATGGTGCTATGCAGCCACAATGTTGCTTTATCTGGGTCGTGTTTTCTGACAGCGGGAAATAACACTTGATGATGTCACGTGGGGAACAGTCTCTGTAACATTTGACCTCTGGATAATATACCATTCGGCAGCTGCACGTTTTCAGTCATGTTGTGTCTAGTAAGTTGAAATTGCATGAACCCGTGAGTTAAAATTCGCGTTATTTTTCTACAATCTAGCACAAGATTTTAATTGCATTATCAATTTAAATATACATTTTTACTTTTATTAATGCATCATTTATAATCTTAATCATTTTTGCAAAATTCGTATTTGTATTACTATCACACTGCTTTGCGACAGTTTTTTTTTTTTTCTAAATAATTCCACAAACTGAGCGTCAGACGTGTTCAAACAAAGAATATTTGACCGAATCTCGAGCCTAACGTCATCGACAAAATCTAGATTCTTTGTCTGTTGAAAGTTTGTTTCTGTCTAAACGGATCTTTCCATTAGGCCTATCATTTGTGCCAGCATTGATACTAACAGTCTCTCTACGACATAGGCCACGTTAACCTGTTTTTTCTGTGTGTGTGTTTAAATGGTTGCCTTGAGGTTTAAGCTGCGTTCACACACTTTACGGCCGTCATTTCAATTGCTTTCAACATAGATACATACATACAAGCATTCTGCACGGCAGTTTACTTTGCTGTACTTTTTGTAGTAAGCCAGTTTTCTCTCGCCACAGTTGCCATGGGGAGACGGAAGATTCACCAACTAAAAAAAAATGCGTTTCGATTTTCTTTGGTTGCAAAATGCGTTGCAGTTGCAAAATGCAGCTCTAAAAAAGGCAATGACGGAAGTGCTATAAACATGGAAAAGCTTCGAAGTTGACTTCACATACCAAAACAACTTTGACTGCAGTTGTTCCTTGCTGTTTATATACCTTTCAGGATCACCAACGCCGTCACAGAAATACAAATTAATGAAAATAAAACTGGAAAATAGACACTTACTTTATCACCCTTCGTTATGGTTAGGTATTTTGTATTCATGTTGCATACAAATATCATCAAATTTGACCCCAGATAACACGTCACTTGTGGCTCATTGTGCATTGTTTCGGTTGACTCAGATTTATACACAATATTTCAATATAATCCAACTTAACGTTATAGTATAGTGTAGCATTGCCCATAGTAAATAAAATACTAGTTAGACTATAATTTCATAGGAACTAACGGCTTGAGATACGTGTCAGGTAGGTACTTTCACCTTTTCCGTAGAGATAAACTTGATTTGTAATAGCATTCCGTATGGCTTAATAGTTATAATAAATATCAAAACAGAACAAATAGCAGAGCACATGGTACTGCACGTCCTTTTTAATGAAACACAGCAGTCATCTTAGCTTACATAACAGATATTCAAACACTTGGTTTCCCATTGACTTCAACAAGGGTGATTCAAGAAAATGCGCTGTGTTTCCAGAAAAGTGCATCAAGGTCCAGGTCGAACTTGGCTTACGTCATCATCCCCACCATCAGCGCCCCTCGTGGACCTTGTGTTGGCACATTTGCATTCCACTACAATACTCCAAAAATCGCCTTCTACACTGTAAAAAGGAAGACTGAGGCGCATAACATCAACTTAATCTTGAACTACCGGTAGAAGCAAACACCTGAAGACGGCTGACAAACGTGTTCATAAACTCATAGAACGAATCAGACGGAGGATAATTTTTTCTCATTTATGGTCGATAGTTCAAATAACGTTAACGCCATGTACTTCTCCATCATACAGTTTTGAAGAGACGTTATGAAGAGACGCAGTTCTGGGCTTAAATAAGGCTAAATATACCCACAGATAACTTACATCACGCTTTTTCCACAGTCAGTTCTACATCCTCCGCCACATGCACAGCCGAATATATTACAGCTCTGATACCCACAGTAAGGGGTACCCTGAAAAACAAGTGTGAAGGGGGCACTAAATATCCAAGGTGGTTGAACTACCAAGCCAGAAGTACGCTGTGTACTTTAATAATTCTGACATTTTACCTCTCTTAATTAACACTGTCTAGTTTATAACGCATCACAGCTGTCACAGAATATGCAGATCAAATAATATGTTTCCAAAAACGTATTTTTAAAATTAAAACGAGTGTGAAGGGAGCGCCAAATATCCAAGCCGGAAGAAGGTTGAGTAGATTGATAATTCTAACATTTTTACCTCTCTTAATTTACACTATCTAGGTTATAACGCATCAAGGCTGTCAGAATATGTAAATCAAATAACACGTTTCCAAAAACGTTTTTCAGATTAAAATAACAACAATTAAGTCAAGCCATTTAAATTCCACATGGTTCATAACTACTGCTGGTAAATTCATACCATATTATCGGTTAGACTAGTTGTTCATAGTTTTGTTTTCAGCTTTGTAACAACAGATTTAGTTGGGATGGAAAACCATTGTCGGACACGTACTACCATCTTTTTGCATAGTCAACCAAATTATACTTAAAATGCATTCTTTTATTTTCATTTTTGCCCCCACCACTTTCTTCAAGTACAATCCTCGATTAGTTAATGGTATGGAATCAGAGTGGTTTGTAATGCCTTTATGCAAAGTTTCATACTGAGCATACATACTGAAGTGCAGTCTTTGCAATACCCATAGGACTCAGTTTTGCAGCACACTCCCTCGGTTTGTTGTACCATAATAGCTACCACGCATACGCAGGTCACAGCAGCTGCTATCACGAGAGAGCAAGTCATCTTCTGAAATGTAAACATTGGTTACTTGAGATACTTGGGACCCTATAAAATTCTGTAAACGCATCTAAATAGTTAAACAAGAATTAAAGTGTCTACAACCACAATCATTGTAAGGTGAGCAATTTTCTAAAATGTAAACTTGGAAACCAGCACCGCTCTACAAATAAATTCAAGTTACCAGCCAAACACGAAATGAAACGGTAAGAATTATGAGGCTTAGCAGCTCAACCATAATCACTTTACAACAACTTACCTTTTGAAATTCTAAAACATATTTATAAACCATTGATTTCTGCAAATACAAGTAAACAATAATCTACAAATAAAAACAAAAAGATAAAGCTACAACCAGAGCAAATTTTTACCTTAGATCTTGGTTTGTCTATCGTGTCTGATATAAGGTGTAAGTCCCAGGATAACGTGCTGTTCTCTTTATATTAATCTCTCGGCAGGGTTGCCACCGTCAGAAAAACGATATTTTGCCAGGAAAAAGAAAAGTAAATTAAACTGCTGTTCTTAATCACCTGATATTCACATTCAAATGAATCTGTTTACGTCATAATGTGTCACTCCTTGCAGTGATATTGTGAAGTAAGATGGCTGCTGGATTAACTGGGCAAAGTAAGAATGACAAAATGCCATTTATATTCTCAGTACCTATATCATTTGAATAAGGCTAGTCATTTGAAATGTCATTATTGATTTTCAGACAAAAGTACGCGCCCAAACCACTTTAAACGAATGTGAATAAACATTCTAGAAATGAAACGGAAAAATTAGAAGAGAAAAACCTGCAATATTTTACCTGAGATCTCGGTTAATCTAGTCTTGTCTGATATGAGAGAGGTTTGCGTCCCAAGATAACGTGTTGTCTAGATACGCAACTCTTTTAGCAGGTACTTTCTTGTAGAGGCCAATTCACAATTACGTACCCGCGTTTTTCATCATTAGTTTTCATTCTTCATGGACCAAATTTTTCAAATATTAATTATACATTTATTTTTGTGGTTTCAAAACCGTCAGTAACGTAGATTAAGGCTTGTTTTCCTTTTTTCACTCCAAGAGAACCAGTATAATTCAGCGCGATTTTTCTATTCAATAATTATCATTCATTCAGATTCGCTATACATAAAACCCTTTCGATTTAAATGTTACCTGCACCTGTGCCAAAAAAAGGAAATATTCAATAAAATACATTGTAAGTTTTT